CCGTGACTTTTTGGGTTATATTGCTATTGTGTTTATGGCTGCAATTTTGGATGTAATAAACCGACCTGTATATGAAGCTGTGGGCTGTCTTTAGTTTAGTTTTATGTATAAGTTTAGTGCTACGGTAGGGAATGTGGAGTTTTCTTTTGTTATATATAATGGATACGTTTCATTGCTTACATTGTCTACATGTATAACTCTGTATTGCGTTTTTCAATAAAATATAAAAAAAAAATTAATATACCCACCCCCCCCTTTCAAACGGGCAGATGGCAGGGTTACCACCTGAAACCCCTCCATCTCCAACACCCTACCCTCCTTAAAATTGTGCTCCTGTAGGAACACAACATCCACTCGAAATTTATTCAGAAACATTCGAAACCATTCTCTCTTTACACTATTACACAAACCATTAACGTTTACTGTCATACACCGGAGGCCTATTAAAGTTTCCACCCCTGCCTCCTCTCTTCACTCTTCCAATGGCCACCAGAACGTGTGGGACCACTTGTCACCTGCACACTTCCCTTTCTCCCCCCCCCCTTCTTTCGGTGCTCCTGTCATGGCCACCACTACCTCACCTTCTGCCCATATTTGCTTCCCAGTCCGCTGCGCTGGCGTTAGGACATCATCTGAATCCGATGCAGCGGCTCTCTTTCTTGTGACAGGCGCATCCTCCATGGCTTGGTCTGGGGATGCCTCACAATGTACCTCTACCTCCACTGTACACAGTGGCAAAGATCTCGGTGACACCTCAGTCACGCTGTCACTCCCGTTGCCCGAATAGTTCTGTTTTGATGCCCCACAGCCTTCACCTCGTCTTCTACCATCCTGTCAGGAGCAGCCACCTCCTCAGGCGGTGACAAGGACTTCAGTACCTCGGCTAATTCCTCCTCAAGTTCCAACACTTCCTCCTGTACTTTTTGCTCAACCCGATCCACTGGAAGTGTGTCTGGACCAGGTGACTGGTCAAGGGCCTCACCCTCTCCCCCAGCCTTATACGCCTCATCCACTATCTCGCTCCATAGACGACCACGCCCTCCTTCACATCGTTGATCAACGCCTGCTTCGCCCGGTGTAGAAGCGGATGTCTCCGCCCCTGGGCCAGGAGCTCGTTGCCGCTTCCCACACTCCGCCGCTATGTGATCATATTCCCCACATAGTCGGCATGTACGCCTTTGCCCCGCGTATGACACCATGACCTGTGTCCTGAATTCCTTTAGGTACACGTAAGACGGTATGGGGTGTCGCAATGTCATTTTTAGGTTAAAAGTGCCCTCCGGCATACCTGTGTAGGCACCCGACACCCACTTACCATGCTGGGCCAAATGAACAGTTCCGTATTCCTCAAAAACTTTTCTGATATCTGGCTCATCAGCCTCAAAGGGGACATTACGCAGTTTAATCCATGTATAATGTCTGGATACATCGATCATCCTCACACGCACAGCTGGTGTTGCATCAAGACTTACGTCCTGAAAACGGTTGACCAACGACTCGTAAACCGTTGCTGAGAGCAGTTTCACAAAAAATCTACGTGCTCCGTTCAATGCTACGCCGTACAACTCTCCATCCTGAATTCCATACGTGTCTCTGATGATTTTAGGTAGTAATACCTGGGCTGACGCTGGCGTTATTGCCCCACTGAGAAGTTCAACACCGACAGTTGACTAATGGTAGTTCTCCTGGTCTGACGACAGAGGCGCGACAAGCACCACCTCACACTACTGCTGTCAGGGAACTGAAGTGCGTTTGCGCAGGAGGTCTGCACGGTCCAATAGCGATGCAGACAATGTCGAAGTATTAAGTACACATGGATGACCCTGACAGTCATGTCCGAGACTCCTATTCTCGAATTGTGATGGAAGCCACTCCAGATAGTTCTTCTGGCCATTGTTCCAAAAGCTCATCCTCTGGCAAATAACCATGCTGTTCGAGTTCTTGCTTCTCCATTCTTCCGTCGTACTACTTGCCTTATTTACCAAGAGGACTCTTACTATAAAGGAGATATTACCAAGGACGCTTGCAAACTCCCTACTGCGATCTATTGTCGTACGGGGGGGGGGGGGTTATATCTTTGAAATTGGTTATCCTGTGTTATTTAAATATTGTAAGAGCATATGTTCATCACTTAGTATTATTGCGCGAAAGTCCCCGTTTATAGCTAAAATAGAGACTTTCGGCGTTATATTATTATCTGTTAATATATGAAAAATACCATGGTATTATCGCTATTATCGTTATTATCACTATTATCGTTATTATCACTATTTTGTAATTATCACTATTATTTTACTATTATGGTTAGGTAGGATTTCTTGTGTATATAGAGTTTAAGTCTCGGAACCATCCGGTGAATTGTTCAGTTGTTTATGTCCGGCTGGCTGACGTGGCTCAGCTGATCCAACCTGACGACACGTCAACAGACTGGCAAGTAGTCAGTCTGCTCCCAGCTCTAGCCCTGACAACTGATCGTATATTGGCTCTTACGGTGTACAGTTGAATGGTTTTGAGAATTGGACTCAAGAGCTGACTCACTTTGTTACCTCCTTGCTTTGGAAGGACTCTTTTGTAGTTATATTCTTGGTCAGTTCAGTTAATCCATAGAACTTTACAGCCAGAGCAAAAGTCTTGTTAAATCTGGTACCTTTCGTATTTTGAGTTTACAGTCTTGTTAAGAAAGAGACGTAATTATTAATGAGGGACTTATGATACCAGGAAGATAATTAAAAATTACTTATTAATATGACAATTTCCATGAGTTGGAATTCAATTTATATGGTAATTTTATTTGTACAAAGTATTAAGTTAATATTAACTACAAGAGAAGAATAACTTATTGTATAATAATTTAATAAATTTGGATTATTTTCTATGGAGTTTCCCAGTTGAAATTATTTCACCCTAGACTCTAAAAGACTTTAAAGAACTCGGATACAAAATATTGTTGCAATAAGAATAAATGTAACAGGCCACATTTCTGAAGTTTTTAAAAATTCTTATTCGCAACAAAAGGTATGTTATATTTGATTGGTTAATCTGTAAATTTAACGTTGTGGTGAGTGAGGTGTTGTGTTTGTGGGAACAATGTCTTAGGTATAGTTCTAATTATTGGATGTAATATATATTAGTTTATTTAGTTCAAGTCATTTTGTGTATGATTAATGGTATAATCCAGTCTGTTCTATACGAACACATGTGCTCATACACGTATGTGAATATCGCATTGTGTATATATATATATAAATATAGGAAATTTATTCATACTTGTTTTCATAATGGACTCAACTGTTTGTTTGGGAAGTCGGTTGGTTTTGTTCAATAAACTGGATGGGTTTATTTCAGTAGAATTTTTGTATCATGTGTTTAAATTGTATTTTGTTTCTTTGTGTACTGACATTGTCTGCACGGTTTTTTGATTTGCTAATGTAGGCTTGTGGTTTTTTTTTTTTTTTTTTTCTTTTTTTATGGTTTGTGTATAGAGTTGACTTTTAAATAAAAAAAAAAAAAAAAAAAAAAAACATGGAGTAGCAATGGCCCCCCTTGTCGTTAATCCCTTAGCACCTTCCTCGCTGGTCGGGAGTGATGTAAATATCTGTGTGTGACATACGTCGAATAAGATTTAGCATACCACAGTATACCCCCACCTAAACCCAAACATCGAATTTTTTCTGTATAAAATTCACACAAAATTTACCCTCAGACAGACACCTTCACTGCCTCTGTTACACTACATCTAGTCTTCAGCCGTTCTTAAATTATCATAAAAATCTTGAAGGAAAGTGAACGGACAACACCACTACCTGCAATCTTTTTCTAGAGGATACTAATAAGAAATTAGGATTTGAGTTTCTCATTATTTTATTGCTTATTGTTATGTAATAGAGTATACATGGAGAGGGTTTGGGGAGTCAACACCCCTGCGGCCCGGTCTGTGACCAGGCTTCCTGGAGGATCAGGGTCTGATCAACCAAGCTGTTACTGTTGGCCACACACAAACCTACGTATAAACCACAGCTCGGTTGATCAAGTACGATTTTTGGGTTTCTGCCAGCGCCTTCTTGAAGACAGCGAGGGGTTTATTGGTAACCCCCCTTTATGTATGGGGGGGAGGTAGTTAAAACAGTCTGGGTCACTGACATTTATTATGGTGTCTCTTAGCTTTTCCAATGGGGGAGTGTGTTGCGTCTCCCCACAGTCTTTTGCTTTCGTTGGGAATGATATACCCATCAAAAGATTAGTGTAGTTCTCGTATACCGTAAGAAAATACAGATATGCAGCATTAATAAACCCCTGCTTAATACAAGAATATATGTATACATGAAGGCTAGAGTAAATTTCAATCACTATATAGAGATAAAAAAAAATTAAATCAAACCCTGTAGCCGGGTCAGATCCTCAGGGTGGCTACACTTAATCCTCAGTTGACAGTAAATTTGGGCCTAAGTCTAAAGTCTAAATGATATGCATGAAGCCCTAATACCGCTATTGAAGGATGACATAATGTGGTTTTGAATCATTATGATTATGTCTCAACAACTAATTATTCACGGATATTTGTCAGTCTGCGACAAAATTCTGGGAGGAGAAAGTGGCCTTACCTATCCTAAGACTACAGCCGTATCCTTACTCTTAGTCTCTAGATGGATAATAACCAGAATGATACTCTTGCAGTCAACAGACCTTAAGCTTACCAGAAAATATGCACGGAAAGATGTATTTCATTGTATTTACAATGAATTTTTTTAATCCCTGGCTAAAGAATTAAGCATCCTCGAAATTACTTTCTAGGTATAAATGTTTATGAACACGAGCTTAATAGACAGGACTTGACCTTCACTGGAAATAAACTCTTATAGAAGGTGTATTTCTAGTGTATACTTAAAGTGTATATTTCTTCTACGTGTATTTTTTTCCCCAATTTCATGTCCATATCTCAATGTACCAGCGCTCTCTTCAAATGAACTAACACTCTCACTGTATCACCTAAAGCCAAAATTCATCCTGAAACTAAAACCAAGAATACTTTAAGTAAACTTTGAAAGGTTATAAATTGAGAAGATACAAATTTTTCTTTGAATATACAATGCAATACACGCACATCATGAAGTATGTACTAGTAAGTAGAGCTGTTGCTTTACTGGGGATGGTAATATTGACAAGCAAATTGCAACTCCTCAGAGCAGGAAATATCGATCAGCACGGGGTGATAAGTGATGCGCAGGCTTACGCAGAATTCATCATGTGTTAAGTTATTGGGTTCTCCTGGGTACCAGTCGCTGGATGCGACGAGTCTCCCGTCTATCCACTTAAATGGACGGCTTCCCTGGCCGTTTTTGCTTCCCACTGAGCCTCTGGCGCCCACGAACACATAATCATTACCTGCGTTCCACAGAATAAGACATTCGTTAATGATTAACCAGGAGCTAAGTTGTGATAAAAATGTTAGCATTTATAAACTTCTACACACGCGCGAGTACACACACACACACACACACACACACACACACACAAGGTTTGCAACAAGGCTAGTCCCAGAGCTCAAGGGAATGTCGTACGAGGAAAGGTTAAGGGAAATCGGACTGACGACACTGGAGGACAGAAGGGTCAGGGGAGACATGATAACGACATACAAGATACTGCGGGGAATAGACAAGGTGGACAGAGATAGGATGTTCCAGAGGGGACACAGGGACAAGGGGTCACAACTGGAAGCTGAAGAATCAGACGAGTCACAGGGACGTTAGGAAGTATTTCTTCAGTCATAGAGTTGTCAGCAAGTGTAATAGCCTAGCAAGTGAAGTAGTGGAGGCAGGAACCATACATAGTTTTAAGAAGAGGTATGACAAAGCTCAGGAAGCAGAGAGAGAGAGGATCCAGTAGCGATCAGTGAAGAGGCGGGGCCAGGAGCTGAGTCTCGACCCCTGCAACCACAATTAGGTGAGTACAATTAGGTGAGTACACACACACACACACACACACACACACACACACACACACACATTAGTGAAGAGGCGGGGCCAGGAGCTGAGTCTCGACCCCTGCAACCACAATTAGGTGAGTACAAACACAACCACGAGACAAGACAGAGGACACAGGGGACAAGAGGACACAGGACACAGAGGACAAGAAGACAGAGGACACAGGGGACAAGAGAAAGATGGGCCTTGGAAGGAAGAGTGGATGGAGAGCTATGCAAAAAGTTGGACCAAGTGTGGGAAAGCAAACTAGATGAGCTTACCGCGAGAATGGAAAAGAGGATTGAGGCAGAGAATCAGTGGAAGTCGTGAGCTAAACTGCAAAAAGCCAAGATAAGGTCTAGAAAACAAAAGAAAATATGTGAAGCGAGATATCAGACAAAAACCAGAGAACCCCATGGCATCTGGGCAATACACTAATTTTAAAAAGGGGGGGTTTCCAAAGGTAAGAAAGGGGGGACAAAACTTACACTGGGCCCTAACAGGCCCCCCAAGAAAGGGTTAAAGACGGGAAGGGGGGCCTGCTTTTAGGCACAGGGACAGCAGTATGTGAAAGGGGCCCCGGCGGAGGGAGATGGGCCCCCATGGGGGTTTTCTGAAAGGCCACCGGGGAGGTTTACAGGAAAAAATAATGGAATTGAATCTATATATAAACGGGGGGGGGGGCCTAAATGGGGATGGAAAAGAAATTTTGGAAAAAGGGAGATGGAGAGGTAAATTTTTTATCCAGGGGCTTCAGGAGGAGGAAGGGAGGTCTTTATGAAGTGAGAGGGAAAAAAAAACTAGATTAAAAAATATCTCAGACAGAGAAAAGGGGACTTATCGAGCTAAAAAAATTTTCAGGAATAGGGGATTATTTCGAAGGAAAAAAAAGGGCCCAGTAAAGACAGAAGGGTGGGACAGGACCCCGGAGGGAAAAAAAGAAAAAAAGAAATTCAACATCCCAGAAAGTTTTCCCTAGAGAAAGGGACAGAGGGAGGGACAAAAGGGTAACAGCTGAGACTGAGGACACAGGAAGAAGGGGGCAAGAAAGAGAATGCCTAAGTCAGTGATTTACGGGAGTTGGGGTTGGAAAAAGAGTGGGGAAAACCCCCCCGAAAAAACCACACTCACCCCCAAACCCTTGTCAAACACTTTACCCAACAAAAACCCAAAACCCCACACTCAGACCCCCAACCCCCCAATATGCAATAAAACCCCTAGCCCCCCTCCCAACCCCCATCCCCCAACCCCCCAAAAAAATGCGGGGAGTATAGTATTGGAAGGAAAACTAAAGGCAAAGTACACCAACGTGAGGGAAATAAAAAATAAAGGGGAGGAGGGGCCCACGAAAGATAAGGGGCCCATTACCAAATCATAGGCCTCACAGAACCCAAAGGGCTTTTCGGGAAATTTAAAACAAAAAACCGTTACCCAACTGATATGAAATCCTGGGGAAAAAAGAAGAAACCAGGGGGTGTGGAGGGGTGGCACTGCTCAAAAAAAAACCAATGGGATTTTGAGGAGTTGGAGAGGGAGACGGGAAAAGAAAAGGGACTCCCATAATAGGAAAATTTTCCCAGACTGGAGGTCCTAAGGTGATGTGTGCATTTGATCTAAAACCACCCCCCCGAATACCGGGCCTATTTTGTGCAGGGGAAATTGTCTGGGTTGTGGGTGACTTCAATTACAATAAAGTTGATTGGGAAAAACCCTGGGGCCACCTGGGGGCCCCAGAAACGTGGTGGGGTTAGGATGTAAGAGGTTGTACTGGAAAAATGTTATGCTTTCGCACGTTGGGGGCAAACCCGAGAGAGGGAAGAGGATGACCCAAAAAGACTGGACCAAATTTATTCACCTTGGTAGTGCAGATTTTGAGGGACATAACATATGAAAGGCCCCTAGAAGCAAAGTAAATCACTTGGTTCTAAGTTTCTAATACACAGTGATTTTCCCAAGAAGAGATGGAAGAAGGGGGGGGCCCAGGACGAATAAGAAAAAAACTTAAAGAGGTGATAAAACAGGCATGATGAATTTTCTGCCCCGAGGTTCGAGGGACAGAGAGCGGCAGGAAAAATCGAAAAATGAGTTTAATGGAAAAAATTAAAACAATATGAAAGGAAGCTGGGGGAGGGGGTTTCCCTTTCCCCAAAAAGGGCAAAGACAAATGGAAGGCCTTGGTTCCCCCAAGGGTTTGGGGAGAGGTTTTAAAACCCAGTGTGTAGAGAAGGAAGAGTATAAAAAGAAAAGGGGGCCCCATGAGAAAAAGGGAAAAAAGTTGTCGAAAAAGCGAAAAATTAAAATTTTGCACGGTAAAAAAGGGAGGCCCAATGAAAAATTATAAAAATGAAAAACAGCGAAAGCCAAGCCCTCCCCCGAAGCGGTTGTACAGTCACTTTGGGAAAGGAAAAAACCCGGTTTTAAAGCCCAGGTAATCAGGCGAGGATGGAAAGGGAGGGGAGTTTACAAGGAACAAACCAAATTTTATGGGAGTAAAAAAGAGATTCAAAAAAAGTATTCCAGTGGAAACGGGAAAAAACTCCGGGAAGGGGACGGAGAGGTGGGATACCCAAGGTGTTAAAACACGAAAATTCCCATGGGGAGGGGGGGCGGTAAAGGGGGGTTTTCGGGGGGAACTAGATACCCAAAACGCGATAGGCCCAGATACTCTCTCCGTGGGGCCCTAGGAGGAAGCGAGGCTTTGTGTAAACAAAAAAGTCTTCAAACATCTATCAAAACCCGGGCGACTCCCTTTTGAGTTATAGAAGCCCGAAAATTTGTAATATAAATTTTTTTTAAAAAAGGGGACAAAACATGTATTGCATGCAGGCAGGGGTTTTTCAGAAGAGTGGGGGGACCCCTGGGAAAGGGGATAAACGTTATAAAGAAAACCAGAAAGGATCAGGAGGGAAATCCTTTGTAACAACCTATAGAGTTTATAAAAACGTGACAGCAGTAAGACAAGAGAGAGAGGGGGAGGGGGAGAGAGAGGGGAGAAGAGGAGAGGTGGGGTTGGATTTGCGTTTTCTTTTTTGGACGGGTAAAAAAGATTTTTTTGACACGGGTTCCACACAAGAGATTAGTGAAAAAAGCGGGGGGCCCCACAGGTATAACGGGGGAAGGGGCATGAAATGTATCAGAAAATCCCGGGGAAAGGGAAAAGGTAGCAAAAAGTCATGATATTTTGATGAGGTGCCCAGACGGGGAAAGTTTTGAAAGAGTGGGGTTTCCACAGGGGTCAGCCCTGGGACCAGTGCGGGTTCCTGGTTTATGTAAATGATTAAAGGAAAGGGAATAGACCGGGAAAGTGCCCTTGTTTGCAAAAGGGTGTGAATTTAAATGAAGGGGAATTCGTCAGGGGAAAGGGACCAGGCAGGATACAGGGGGGATCTGGAAGGTGCAGGCCTGGTCCAGCAAAAGGTTCCTGGGTTAAACCCCCCACCAAGTGCAAAGTCATAAAGACAGGGGAAAAGAGAAAAAAAGATCGCAGAGTACAGTCTAGGGGGCCCAAAGACTACAAACCTCTTTCAGGGAAAAAGGGGTTCTTGAGTTTTGTAAATACGGCACATCTCCAGAGGAGCACTAACCATAAAACTGCTGCGCATATGGGCGGGTAGCGAACCCATGAAAAAGCATTGCGAATCTCAGTAGGAGTCGGTTTTTGGACTGTGTACTCCGGGTAAGTCAGGCCCCAAATTTGGGGTTTGAAGCTCCCCTTTGTAAAACCCCCAACCCGGCCCCAAAAACGTCAGGAAAATAGAGAAAGTGGGAAAGGCTTGCAACCAAAAAAAAAATCCCCGAGGAGAGGTTTTTAAAAGAACCCCGACCTGACGACACGGAGTACAGGAGGGCAGGGGGGACTGATTAAAGACCACAAAATAGAGAGGAATCGAAAGGTGGATAAGGGGAAAAGGATGTTCCAGAGATGGTTTCACAGCAAAAAGGGTCACAATTTGGAAATTAAGGGGTCAGATGGTCAAGGGAAGTTTTTGGGGTATTTCTTCAGTCGTCAGGAATGGAATAGTCTGGAAAATGATGTAGTGGGGGGGGGGATCCTTTCATAGGTAACAAAAAAGGCACCAAAACCCTGGGCTGGAAAAAGATACACAAATTAAACCGCCATTTTAAAAGAGGAAAGGGGACGACGGGGCCCTTTCGGTCCGACTTGGATTCCCTTTACATAATCGCACAAACGAGAAGGGAAACAGGATGGGTTAAATACATAGGTTTAGGGAAAGATAAAGCTCAAAAAAAAGAAGGTGAGAGAGTGACCCGTAGCGACCCGTGAAAGGCGGGGCCCCGGAGCTATGATTTGACCCCTGCAGGGTACAGTTAGACGAGTACCGCCCACAAAAAACACAGTTTTATATATATATAATAAAATATTTATATTTTTATTTTATATATATATTATATATATATATT